CTGGCTCAAAAAGTCAAGATTTTTTCAAGTACCAAAACATTCGGCTTTTTTTACAACTTGTGTGAAATAGAGTAGACATACGGTGTGCCAAATTATCAAAAGCGATTTCATCGAGCAAGTGCGACTGCAGGCTACAAAATAAAAAAAAATTATCGAAAAAAGTTGAGTTTTGGCTGAGTTATGAGGATTTTCGTGGACGAGATAAAAAGATGATTGCAAGATGGTGTTTTTCTGAGAAAACAGAAAAATTTCTTCTCGCCGATGCGGGCTTTGAAAATTTTTTGGAAATGACTGTTTGATAGAACTTTTTGCGGTCTTTCGAATGACCGTCTCGGATTTTAGACTCTAAGGAAGATTTTTGAGAAAAATCATTTTTTGCCTTAGAAAATTGGAATTTTTACACATCCTCGCTTCTTCTTTTATAACTCTAAGAATTTCTACTCCAAGAAAATTGGTGACACATGTTTTTGTAGAGAGTTATATGGCGCATCGTTTAAAAATAAGTTTGAGCAGATTGCACAAAAAATGATGGAGTTATCGCAAAAACAAAAAGGGCCATTTTACCTGGAACACCCGATAAAATAAAGTCGAATTTGAAAAAAAAGTTTGTTTTTGATTAAAACTCCAAAATTATTTTATTTGTAAAATCAATTAACTATACATCATTCGATGCAGTTTTGCGCACTGATTCCGAATATCATGTTGCTTTACTATACAAACGATTCCGGGCTTCAAAAAAAGGATTTTATGTGAAAAACCGAAGGTTTTTCCGAAATCTGTATCTCTTGTTAGATAAATATGTGCATTTTTGTGCATTGAGAATAGATAGAGGAGGTGACGGCGAACATTTTTGTGTGGTTTTGAGTCAGATTGGACGGGGTGAGAAGGGGGGACACTCATTAATAGATAACAACCACGTACGAAATAGACTTAGTCTGGAAGTCGAATTTTTCTCTCCGATTTAACAGGCGTAGAAAGGATAAATTTTTTCCAGTTTTGTAAAGGAAGGTGTGTAGATTCAGAAGATGTAAATTTTTTAAACCTTAAACCTATTAGTCTACTAGAAAAAGCTATTTTTTTCCTCAGAGATCGCTACTTTTCAGGCATTTTTGGAGGTTACGTGTTTCCGAAAATGAGTGCACTTGGAATAAAAAATTTTACATCATTCGATAGCCTGTCATTTGAACTATACGTGACACTATTTGAATTTTGGAAAAGTGTACTTTCGATTTTTCGCTAAATGTCCTCCTGGATGATACGTGTAAGACTCTCCTTATGAGGATGAAGGCCGCATATCAGAGCTGGTCAATGGACGAAGATCTTCGCGAGGGAAGATTTTTTGAAAGCAAGAACTTCACGATGCGAAGAACATTTTTTCTTGTGTGCAAAAGATGTTATGTTTATTTTAATTTATTTTTATAATAAAAGTGATGGTTCTTTTTGTGAATCAAGATGAAACAATGAATAACTGAGATTAGCAGAGATTTTCTGGATTGATGAGGAAGTGCCAGAGGAAAATTTTATCAAGACTTGACGGTGGACGAGGCGGCGATGAAGTAGAAAGTTTACGGAGCGATCCTCGCGAAGTAGATTTATCGAAACTTAGCATGATACAAGGTGATGATGAGGCAGGAAGTTTGCGAGGCGATGCCCGCGAGAGAGCTAAAGATAATCCATTGTCCACCTCTGCCGCATATCTCAAATTTTACAGGTGAAATGCTGGTTGTGAGCTTGCATCCATAGTTTGTAGTTTGGCATGTTCAGCTAAATTAGGACTGTAAAAGTTCTCGTTACTTCTTCGGTCGTTATCAGCAACGGTAACTAGAAAAACAGTTATCGTATCTATCTTCGAGCAGACATTTCTAGGAATCTCAAATGCCATGGAATATAGGTAATTGACTACGCTACGCATAATGGCAACATTTGTTTCGCTAGTTTTTCACTAAAACTGTTCAAACTTTCATAAATGACATGATTTTGTAGTCTAATTTCGTTGATGAAAACAACGATTTCTCCAGCTGGCTGTAGATGCTGAGGTCTCCAGAGACCTTAAAAACCGCAGTTACAAAACATTGAAGTTATTATATAATTTTGATTAGTTTAATTAACTGGCACCTGGGTGCCAATCAAAATCATGTCATTTATGAAAGTTTCAATAGTTTTAGTAGAAAACTAACGATTTTGAAAGCCATTTTAAGCCGCTGCGTGGATATTTCGGTCATATTTAAAAAATAATCACTATAAAGTTAACTAACTAATAGTTACCGTTATTTCAACAGTAACTGGAACACACAGTTATCGTTAAAGTAACGATAATTGTATTTTCAATTAGCGTTAAATCAACGCAACGCAAACTTTTACAATCCTAAACTAGATAATTAGTTTTTAATTTAGAATGATTATTTTTTTTGTTTTATGTCAGTTCTCATCTTTCAGAGTATAGTTACTATTTATTGATACAAAAAGCAAAAGAATCTTAAGGAGAAGTTCTGATCAGCATTGAGTAAGACAGACCTCAGACGATTGATTTTCTATGAAATTATTGCTTACCCGTTGGAATTTTTGAAAATAATTAGAAATTAATGCAAACTAATTTTAAAAAAATCTCATATTAAATTAATGCACATTCATTTTTTATTCTGATTAAAAATTAATTCAAACCAATTGAATTTTAACCAGTTCGAATTAATTTATCAAGTTAAATTAATTTGAATTGAATCAGAAAAAAAATGAATGCGCACTAATTTAATATGAGACTTTTTTAAATTAGTTCCCATTAATTTCTAATTATTTTCAAAAGTTCCAATGCGTATCATTTAGAAATAAATGTAGGTTCATAAACTTATTCTGACAATGTAACTTGTTTTTATTTAAAAATATTTAAGACGTGAAAAAACGGAGTTTACCTAATTTCGCGGTACTACTAGTTTAGTTTAGATAAAATTGTTAAATATCTTAGAAATGATGTTATTTTAGTGTACAGTATCATGTTACAATGGATATTTAAGAATTTATTACCAACTGGCATTCGTTCTCGACCTTATTTGGATTCATGTACAATTGATGAAGTTCAACAGATGTGTCGAACAGTAGAAAATAATGTTGATCTTTCGTGTTTACAACAAAAATTATTGAGATTATTTCAAACATTATATGAACTTGAACAAATGCCAGATATGAATCATTATGAATTCAAAAGCAAACTACTTTTAAATGATCAATTTGGGTTCTATTTGGAAAAAAGACGTTCAAAATCACCGTTGATCAATGGAGATGGAACATTTTTGACTGGTGGCTCAGTTACATGTGGTCAATTAGTGGCAATTTATCCTGGAACAATCTATCGTCGATATCGTGATCCATTATTTTTTCAATCGATTAAAAATCGTTTCTTATTATCTCGAAAAGATCAAATTGTTTTGGATGGAAATGATCGTGGACTATCGAAATCTATTTTTCTCTCTTGTTATGCACGAGATGGTTCACTTTATGGAGATGCAACATGGCTATTATGGAATAAATTGAATCGACGAACAAAAAAATATCCTTATATTCGAAATCCACTAACACTTGGTCATTATATCAATCATTTTCCGAAAAATTCATTACCTAATGTGACCTATTTTGAATTTGATTTTGAATTTCTACAAAATTATCCTCAATTGTATCGATACGCACCGCATGTCTACTATAATAGCAATGAAATTGAAAATATTCTCTGCATGCCATCGACAGTACTTATTTCATTAAGAAATATTGAAGAAAATGAAGAACTTTACTCATGTTACATGAATGTAATTCAATAAATCATGTAAAATATTACCTTTTTCTTCACAAACTCATAGATTCCTGCTGATATCCTCTCATTAGAGGATCAAGATTTTGATCAATAAAGTTCTCATCTAATATTTATGAGTAGTAAAAGAAAATGACCTAGTTCAGACGAGATAATGGTTTGATCATCTAATGCTGTTACCAGAATGAAATTTCGTCAAATTTCTTTTGTATTGTGTTTTTTTTATAATTTCTTCGAATGACAAGATGCTCGGTGCTCTGAGACGTAGCAGTAGTGAAAGAAGCCTTCGAATTTCTACTCTGTCTTCATTCACGAACTATTTTCTTCTTATGCTTTAGATTCCTCAAAGTGTCCATATGGAATATCGAAATTGTACGTTGTACAAACAATTAGATGAAAAATCAAAGTCAAGTTTTATTTTAACACAACAATTATTAGTAGATATTATTTTATCCTTTAAGCCAATAGGTACGCTAAGATATTCTTTTTTTGCTATTATCTGAGATATTGTGTGATAAAAAAGTAAAATAACTTTCTTTTTTCTATATTCTTATCGATGACAAAGATTCAGACTCACGAGGGAAGTCCACCAACCTGAAAATCGTTTGCCGGCCAAAATCGAGTGGGTCATAGGTTATCGACGGG